GGCTGAGAGATGCATCAATTAACTAGTTGAGAATCCGATTGAAGGATTCAGATGATAGGAGCCAGAATAAAACAGAGCCATCCCTTGTGCCATAAGTCAAGGTGCGACAGTATGAGGATCCTGTTTTAGGAAAATCAAAGAAGATATTCAACAAGAGGAGACCACAGCTTTTGAGCTCGATGGAAAAAAGGTTTTCAAGCACCAAGGCTAATGGTGCGTTCCAAAGGTAGCAGGGTTACGGGATAAGATTATGACAAAGGTCCACTATTCGCGATACTCTATTCATCTTGGATCAACAAAGATGTACCATGTTGTAAAAGGGATGTATTGATGGTACGACATAAAGAAGAACATTTTGCAAAGTTATGACATAGTGTCCTAATTGCCAGCAGGCAGTTATTACAACCAGGTTATTGATAACGATCCAAAAAATGTCAGGAATCATAAATTAAAGTGCAATGCCCAGAGTTAGAAGCTCCATATTGATAACTGAGTTAAAGGTGAATTTCATGAGCGGTTGTTGACCGCTCAGAGTCGTTAGAAGTCATTCAAATGTGCGACGACGAGACTTTGCGTTCCAGGTTGATGATTGGGTATTGTTAAAGGTTTCGCCTATGAAGGGCGTCATGAGATTCGGCAGGAAGGGCAAGCTTAGCCCGAGATACATTGGGCCCTATAGAATCATTCGAAGGATAGGCCAAGTGGCATATAAGCTAGAATTGCCTTCAAAGCTAAAATCTGTCCATCCGGTATTTCATGTATGTATGTTGCGGAAGTGTATTGGAAACCCTACTCGGGTTGTCCCAGTTAATGATATTCAGATTATAGAAAACTTATCCTATGATGAGGTTCCAATTGCCATACTAGATCGGCAAGTCCGCAAGTTGAGGACCAAGGATATGGCTACCGTGAAGGTATTGTAGAGACATAAAAACGTTGAAGAGATGAATGTGGGAAGCTGCAGAAGAGATTAAATCCAAGTATCCTCATTTGTTCCAGACAGAAGGTGACCCTCAGAGTTGAGGCGTTACAGCAACGACAGAGACAGAGTTACTTGTTCATGAAGTGAGTAACAACTTATGCTGATTCTATTTGATATTTGATGGCTATGTGAGGCCAATGAGATACAATTGCTTGTTTATGGCCATGTGTGGCATGTAGTATATTTTCTGGCTGCGTGGCAGGTTTGGTATTGTCCAGTTTACAGGGGAGACTTTGCCAAGATTTTCGTAGAATTCTTAAAAGTTAATTTCTCTCATGTGCGTCTCTACACTCGAGGACGAATGTTCCTAAGGAGAGGAAGATGTTACATCTCGTATTTTCATACGTGAAGTTGCGTCATAAGCTAGTCGACGTCAGCTCGAAGGGTAAGAGTATCTTTGAGGATTATAAGTGTTTATACCATGTTAGTAAGTGTTAAGTATATGGGTTAGAAGTTAATTGAATCGAAAAGAATAAGTTTCGGCGAAATTTCCCGACTTATGGGGTGACTTACGAATTGTATATTGGAGGTACGGGCCGATGTTATAATCGTACTTTAGGGGTAATGTTAGGAGCTGTTAACATGCTAAGAAGGTCTTGTGATGAGGTATTAGAATCGTATCAAAGTCGTATGATAAGTTTGAAGTCAAGCAAGTTATAAAATAAAAGTCGGCAAAAGTTATCGCAAGTTATGTTCATAAGTTTACTGAAATTTGGGTCTGATGTCACTAAGCTTTTCTCCCAATATACTTGGAGTTACGGGGTGATTCACCCACCAAATTGAAGTTCTACGAGTCTAGCTTCCAACGCATTAAATCGTTCGTCGAAAAGACATCGGCATAGGGAGATATGCGCGTTTTAGCTGGACTGCGCAGGCAGCCCTATTGGGAACCACATAGGCGGTGGAGATTATATTTTGATGTTATAAAGTGGGGCACTCCTTTTCTCACTTCATTTTTCATCCAAAACAGAACCCTAAGCTCCCTAAATTCTCCCAAAGCCACTCCCTATCATTCAAACAAATCCCACCAAGGTTATAAGGTAATTCTTCCTTCCGAAAGATCGTAGTAGTACTCATATAAGCTTGTTCTTTTCTTGTTATAGTTGATTTGTGGATTCCTTCAAGTTGAAGTTCTTTTCTTGTTGTAGGGGTTGTTCGTATTGTGTAAGGTAAGAATCTCCTTCTTCTACACGTCTTTGCGCATATCTAAGTCTTGGTTAAGTTGTTGAAGTAAGAACTTGCGAAATCGACTATCGAAAGTCATATATAGCTTGTTGTATTTGCTGGACTGCTTTGGAGTTGCTTTTATGTTGTCTTATAGCTGGGAATCATGAAGTAAGACTTAAGTATGTTGTTAACGTTGTTGCTATGTACCTTGATAGAAAGAAGGGTTTAAAGTGTAGCTTTACTAGTTGTAACCCGAGCTTGTCGCTCGACGTATCGTTTGTGTTGATTGAAGAGCTAAATGTGTAGTTGCTGGTTGTTGTGATTGTTGTTATTATTGGGAATCTGAGGTTGTAAAAGAAACAGGGAGATGCTGCCCGTTTTGTTAAAGGATAAGCTTGCCGTTCGATATATAATAGTTGTATCATTCGTAGCTTGACGATAGCGTCTATCATTGATTGTAGATTGAGGTGTTGCTCAAGTTAAGCTTATTGAGTTGTTGAGCAGTTGATGAAAGGTATGTAAAGGCCATTTCTCTTCTTTCGATGGCATGAACCCATAGTTAAGTAAGTTCCGAACATAGTATACCCAAGAAAAGTCATTCGTAAAGATCTCATGTTGTGTTATTCCATCTTGCTCGTGACGTAGATATCCCTTGTTGGGAATTCCTATTCAGTTTAGCATCATTCCATGTCTAGTTGAGAAATAGAGAGTATACATGTGTCATTTATCGTTTACTATACGCCTACGGGGCTAGATAGATGCGCACCATGCCTTTGGGGCTAGACAGATACCTTCGGGGCTATACAGTTGCCTATGGGGCTATACATATACACACTGAGCCCTATATGAGGCCGGATAGTTTATTTCGGTACTACTTATATGATATGAGCCAAAGATAGGTAAGAATGCTTCCAGATTATCATTGACTCCTTAGATTACATTCAGTATATCATGTATGTCAATTCAGTTTCAGTTTCAGTTTCAGTTATTCAGTTTCCTTACATGCTCGGTACATTATTTCGTACTGACGCCCCTTTTGCGGGGCGCTGCATTTCATGCCTGCACGTCCTAATAGTCAGAGAGATAGGCCTCAGCAGTAGGCATGCTAGTATACAGCTTGATTGGTAAGCTCCACATCATCTGGAGTTACCAGGTTTAGCGTTTTGTTGTATATTCAGACAGTATGGGTCAGCATGGTGACCTTGTCGGCCTATATATGTGTATATATATATTTTTTGGATTTCTTTCCATTCAGTTAGTAGTTGTTCATTCCTCAAATTTTCATAAGTTATGGCCTTGCTGGCATAAGATATTGCAGAAAGGTATTCAGTTGGCCTTGTCGGCCTAAGCAGTCATATATGTTCAGATAACACAAGTTTCTGTTGGTACGCTCGGCCAAGTAAGGCGCCGGGTGCCAGTCTCGCCTTCCTGGATTTGGGACGTGACAATACTTTTCTATATTTCGAATCAATAACAACTTTAAACTTCTCATTTTACACTTAATGAGATAATTTTTAGTGTTGTGAAGAGCGTGAAGCAAGGAAAAGCGACAAGTCCCTTTTCGCTTAAAGCGTGAAGCGAGAAGCGAAGCGCTCGCTTTTTTGAAGTGAAGCGGAATTTTAAAAAAAAAATATTAAAATAAATACTGAAGGAAAAGAAGAACCGAAGGAAATTGGCAGTAAGTAAGTAGGAAAAAAATTGGGCAACATTTCGCTACAATTTAAGACTGAAACAGTGAAAGAAAAATAAGAAGAAGAGAATGAGAAAAAGAACGGAAGGAAAAAAGAAATTGGCAGCATTTCGCTACTATTTTGAGACTAAAATAGTGAAAGAAAAAGAAAAAGGACGAGGAAGAAATCACATACCTGGGCTTGAACTTGAACTTGAAAAGTGCAGAAAATGGGAACCCTAATCGCCTGTTTTTCTCTGTTGCTCGATGATGTTTTGAAAAAAGAGAGTTTTTTTTATTTTTAACGTTGGCAGCCACTTAATATACCGAAGGGCAGAAGCACACGCTTTATATCACCTGCTACACTTCACAACACAGAAGCGACCAACTGCCCGCTTCGCTTTGCGCTTTAAGTGCTGAAGCGGGCGCTTTTCACAACACTGTGATTTATAGCCAAAGAAATATCTATGGAATGTTTTAAACCACAAGTTTCAAAAGTCTTTCTTTCTTAAACTTTGTCTCCAGTCAAGCACCTTCACATAAATTGGACGGAGCGAGTATCAGTTTCAAGGAAACAATGACCTCTGGGAGTAGCACTAAATGCAAAAGAAGATTAGGTAACATTGCATTCCAAGTCTTAGGGGTTCAAAGAAATGTTAGGATGACACGTAAGAAGAAAGCTAAGTACCACAGATGACAAACCCAACTTCTAAATCTCAATTACAGAGTAGGATACAAATCAAGGAATCTATCACCAATGTGCAAATATAGCACATGACAAAATCAACCGATCAACAATAGCATTCTGCCAGCTTCACCAACGTACATGATGTAAACAGTACCATTTCTATCTGACTACAGCTGAATTTTTCTGACCAATGTATTACTTCATCTTTCTATCAACTTTTTGTTGTTTTGGCAAAATCAGCTTCATCAAAAAGATAACTGAAGTACGTGACCCATCCACACACAGATTAGTGAAGCCCTAAGATTGGAGGATCCAAATTAAAAGTCCAAATTAAATTGTCACAGGGGGTTTTACTCTGTAGATAGCGCAATCCAATAAAAATTTTAATATGGGGTTCTCTTGATACAGGACACAAAAGCAAAATAACTGAGTATCTACAGAACTCCGAGAAGCATCACACATGATATGGGAATTGCAGAGCAGCTGAAACATACATGCTTTCAGGGTCTGTATAGCTATCCTTGTCAAGTATCTTTACCGAAACTTTCGTTCCATTCCATTTGGCAATTTGATATGAACCCTGTAAAAACTTAAAAAAAGAAAATTTAGAAAACTTGTTGAGAACAGATTCAAAACTTATCCAGCCAAAAGCATGGCATGAAATGAAAGTGGGCCTTGTATCTCACGGCTTCACTCAAGAAGCAAAGAAAGATAAAAAATGGTTAAAGAATCTAATGGATTCAGGCTTCCTTTAATTTTAGATGGAAGGTAACTTTCACAATTTAAGGCCTAACTGTGCCTTCATCAACCGTAGCATTATTGAAACATCACAATGCTGATTAACAAAACAAAGAGCTTGCCTTTGAGATTCCATCACTTCTGCGGATTTGAAGTTCCAGAGGGTTTAGATCATATTCTGGAACTTCTCGAGGATTTGCTACAGCCATTGGCGTCTTTCTGATTTTCTAGCAACATAACACACGCTTCTATGAGTGCCAAAACATAAGGAACCTCAATCTGATTAGGAAACTTAACCCACTTACTGGCGCTTTGGCTCCACGGGCCTTCAAAATGTTGTAAATTTCAGCATTTCCATAGTATTTGGCATCAGCTACTGCCTGTCACAGCCAGTTATAACAGTCAATTTGGGTAATAAGGGATAAAGCAACAAGATTTACATTTAGATTTATAGTACTACTAAACCCAAACTCATAAATTGCTTGATTGTTATAAAATATGAGCCTTTATGGGTTGGTTGCTTGTCCTTAGTTTATCAAAGCATTTTGCACATTTATAGGACCTAAATACGATTATTCGGAGACAAAAAGCTTGTACAGATCTTGTTCATCATACGTCAATACTTTCTCAAAGTAGAGAATCTCCACCTGCTAATGCCTATACCATTGCATTGTATTTGTCAGACCACAAACAGCAAAATATTTGGATATAACACAAGGAAGGAGGAAGAAGAAAGCCAAAGGATCCCCATAGTTTGTTTAAATTAAAGGATCCCTACTGCAATTTACCAAACAACAACAAGAAAATAATCCCCAAAGGAGTAAAAATAACAAGATTTATACCGTGCTACCCCAGCGATCACGGCCATCCATATTAACCTTCCTACTCAACAGAAGCTTGACAACTTCCACATGGCCTTCACAGGCAGCAATGTGAAGAGCAGTCCTCCCATCCAAATCGATGCTGTTTACATCAATGCCTTCATCCAACAAGTCCTGAACTCCCTTCACATCCCCTTTACACGCCATGAATAACAGCTGCATCGTCGAATCGAGATTGTCTGGCACACTCAGCTCGCCATTTTCATT